AAATGTAATTTTTAGGGTCTATTGTAACGTGATGTCACATTTTGTTTTTGTTTTCAAAAATGTAACCTAAAGGACCAAAAATAGTGAAAAACCGTCGGTATTTTGCTGCTAATCGCGAAAGTTAATATGTTAGCAAGTGACGTGGCCTGATGACTTATAGAGAGCCCTCTATGAAGAGCTGCGGTTGTCATCTTGCATTGATCAAACTGGTTTTTACAGTAAACGTAGAGATGGAGTTTGAAGATGTACATGTTAATAATCATGACCTTCAACCTTTATTAATTTTTTTGTTTCTACTATTGAATTCACTGAGAAAATTAAAACCTATATTTATTACCTATTTAGTATTGTGTAATATTGTATATCTGTAGCACAGTGTATTTTAAGTAGCCATGGATAAAGGCGTCAGCCAAGTAAATCTTATTATCATATAATGGAGCTTGCGATGTGTACGTCCAAAACTCGGATCTCGAAAACTACCACATCGATCATCACCAATCATAACTGGGTAATATTTTTATAACTAGGCAGTATTTTAATAGCTGAGCAATAAATAAAACAATTGATTTTTTTACAAAAATGATATGTTTCAGATTTAACCAATAAAAAATACAAAAAAGAATAAGTTTCAAATATAAAACAATCAAAAAACAAACTTAAAAAAGCATTTGTTTTTCTTTAGTGAAAATCCCATGAGTGTTGCAACAGAAAAGCAAGGTACTTTCATTGATAACTGCGTCTACAAAGAAATACTTCAATAAAATATACTCTGTGATGCTGTGATGATAGCTCATTTTTAAACTAAAATTTCAATAAAAACTTTTTCTCATGAATGGTGAACATTATTGAATGTCAAGCATGAGAACATTGTTGTAGAACTTTCAGACAATTCCAGAAAAGGCCGCAGAGACAATAGCCTTCCGCAGGAACTAGCAGTTATACCTGCCCGGAGGGCGAGTATTTCTGCTAATAACAATAATAATACTTGAGTGAATAGTTTCTATTCTTCGTCAGAAGAATAAATTCATTGCACCTTTTGTGTGATACCCGTGGTGGGCAGAGCACAGATAGTCCAATGTGTAGCTTTGTGCTTAACTAGAGACAAACAAACAAACCTAAGGCACTTTCTATTATTTATGTTATCTCATCGTTGCATTGAAGAAAAGGACTTGTGTGTGACCTTTTGTGCTAACTCTTTTACCAGAAATAATAACGGACTTATACTGCGAGAAACCGGGTTTCGATACCCGTGGTGGGCAGAGCACAGATAGCCCTTTGTGTAGCTTTGTGCTTAATAACAAACACGAACAGAAATAATAATACTTGATAGAGAGGTTCCAGTGAGTAGAAGCAAGTAGCTTTTGACAAACAAAAAGGTGCCATCAAGTGCCGGGTTGTAATTTTCAATTAGCAGATGGGCCAAGATTTTGATTTCAATAGCACTGTAATAATAACTATCAGCTCATGTATGCATGGATACTCGAGAAATTGAAAAAAAAAATAGCATACATACATATATATATATATACTGAAATGAAAATCTCGAAATGAGGTGAACTGTAATTCACTAAATTAATGTTATATTTCTATTAGTAGAAACAGGAATCACCTCACGGTGTTGATTTGTTTTGTAAACTCTCCCAGATCTGACACTCTTCGTCAAACTCTCATTGCTGGTCGCGCTGACGCTTCAGTATTTTAGTCTCCATTCGTTCTTGTATTTTTAGATTTCGATATACCTTTACCACAGAATATTCATTATATCTAAATATACGATGCTGTAATTGGTTTGAATGAAGTTAGCCCGTTTTGTGCGATAGCCGTCCCTCATTTAGCAGTGTAAAACTAGAGGGAAGGCAGCTAGTCATCACCACCCACCGCCAACTCTTGGGCTACTCTTTTACCAACGAATAGTGGAATTGACCGTCACATTATAACACCCCCACAGCTGAAAGGGCGAGCATGTTTGATGTGACGGGGATTCGAACCCGCGACCCTCAGATTGTGAGTCGAGCGCCATCTTGCCACTGAATTATCAGTATGATTACTACGTATCATCACACAAACGCCAATGGCTGTTGTAACTGCAGGATAATGTGTTTGAATTTTGTGACTTCATCCACAGAATATAGCGGAATGTTTCCTGAAATCAGGCATATTTGAAGCACAGTAAAATATTGACGGTTTCACAGTTTTTCGTCTTTAAGTTACAGTAACAAATTGTATCAGCATCTTATCAGAGACAATAAACATTATGTTTCTGCAAAAGAGAATAATAAACTAAATCATTTTAGAAATCCTTTTAAATATTGATATATGTTCCCTACCGTTTAAATATTAACTCGTATTTCCTTATATCTTAAATGTTGAGTTGTGAGTGTGTTTCCTTACATCTTGAAAATTGACTTCTGTCTGTGTTGTTTACATCTTTAATATTCACTTATGTTTTCATACATCTTAAATATTGATTTGTATTTGTGTTATATTACATCTTAAACATTGACTTGTGTTTGTGCTCCCTTACATCTTTAACATTTTCTTGTGTGTGTGTGTTTTCTTACATCTTAAATATTGACTTGTATTTGTGTTTACTTAATGTTACGTATTAGAATTTCAAATGGTCTGAAATTTAGTTAACTGATAATTTAAACTTAGTAGTTAAATGTATGTTGATATATAGTCAGTTTATGATATTTGCCAACAAGATTGATACACACAGTTTTCTTTTA